ATTATGTTTTGCGTTTATATACAAATTGTGAACTTGAGATATAAGGAATATAAAAAGTGATAAGTCATATAAATACAAATTTGCTTAAAATAAGAACACCACCACCATAGTAGTTTTGTTTATACTTGCCGTTACAATGTGAGTAATTATTGATATCAACCTTAACTATTTTGCAAGCATAATTATGATTTTATCAAAATGTAAAATAGTAAAGGAAGCGAAAATATCCGATGGGCTGTCAACACCGCAACCCTGTTGACAAGAATGACAGCTGTCAAGATTTATGAATAGCCAGGGGTACCGACGGAGCCATCTGGGACGTCATGGCGTTAATTTTGAAATCTTCATTTGCATTTTTTCAAGGATTATGCAACAATTTCGGGAAAAAATCCACTACGGATAAAGCATAAGAGAGTATATTTCAACAATTGGCCGGGTTTGTTCCACTGGGACTGAGCCGCTAAATCGAATTTAAAAAACATATTATTCAATTAACCGGTTGTTTTTGCCCATCCCCAGTTTACTGTTTCAATTCAAATAATGATATTAACCCAGAATGTGTGTCCGTGAAAAAAGAAAATTATTGCAAATTCTAGTTTTTAGGTTAGCTGTGTCCGCAAAGTTGGGGTTTTCCTTTACACGACGTGTAGATCTTGAAAACATAAGCAATTTTTCTTGGTACCATATACACCAAGGTCTTAAGGGAACCGAGATAAAGGGCTCTGCAACATCAAAAATATCTGAATACCGTCCTGTAGCCGCGACTCGGGACATCCCCGACTGGTACTAGGACACTAGCTCAACCCGACGACAGAACTGGGTCGGGGGTCGGGGTCAGTGTGTCAGGTCAGTATGCAACCTTCAACCGACGGTTACGGTCACGCGTGTAGAGGTAATCGCGTAGACGAGAATCCCTCAACAAGCACTAGAGACGTGGCTAGAGAAGTGCAAGTATCAAAAACTAAAGTGTGGCAAACGCTGCGTGAAGAGGGGCTGTATCCGTTTCACGTCCAACGTGTACAAGCCCTTCAACCTGACGATTTTCCAGCAAGAGTGCGGTTTTGTGAGTGGTTGTTGCATCAACATGACAATCCGGACTTTTTGAAGTGCATATTGGTGACAGACGAATCTACGTTCACGCGTAATGGGGTGAATAACTTTCGCAACATTCATGTTTGGTCAGTAGAAAATCCGCACGCTGTCCGTCGGGCACATTTTCAACAAACATTTTCGGTGAATGTTTGGGCTGGCATGGTGAACGGTATGCTCATTGGACCATTTATTCTCCCAAATCGATTGGACGGGATGCAATACCTAGACTTTTTACGCGACATTTTGCTTTCCTTGTTAGAAGATGTGCCATTAAGTGTAAGACAATCAATGTGGTTTCTGCACAATGGTCATATTTGTTACCTCTGTTCGTGGTCTACTGGTCTGCACCACCGCCGGCGTCTGCTCGGTAGCGCATCAGCTGATTTCATTTTCTGTTGGAGCGGTATGATTTCGGGAAGAGACGTACTTAGCCCTTCTCGTCAACTGGAGAGTTGAGTACTTTTTCCTTTATTTTTTTTACTTGGTCGCCCTCGTTTCACTACACATTACCTTTATTATTTTAAGGGTAGTTGTTTCTGGAAAGGAAAACCCCAACTTTGCCGACACCCTGTATAGTGTGGATGTTTGATATTTGCCTGAACAACGGAAAATATTCAACTTTAGGGGTATATGGATATCAAAAATCCTGAATGGTTTTGTGCGAATATCAATCTAAGGTGGAATGGTACTGATGAACGGCAAGTAAATGAATGAATGTTTGGAAACGAGCAATATCTATGAAATTGTTGGTAGAAAGTCTTTGTCATCAAGGTTTGTAGGAAGGAACATACGGTAGGTGATGTTAAATCAGTAAAATCGCATCTCCAATTGCAGAAAATAATATAAACATAAATAATCTACAATAGTAAAAAAACATGAATTTTATTCAAAACTCAAACGTTTTTTAAAATCCTGCCAGAATTATATGTAATTTCTTAATATCAATCAGCTAGTGATGTTTCATTGACAAGCTGTCATCTCCTACTTTGACAATATTTTGTTTCCAACATTTAACAGCTATTGGTTGCTAAAATTTGTCGAATGGATCTTAAAGCTCATTCGCTATATTTGAGGGGCTGTTACCTTATTGGTGGAAACTAAAGGCATGTTAATTTGAGTCTTGGTAAAATTCATGGTGGAAAAAAAGTGCAACAAAATTTAGCATCGTTTTGCAAGTCACAAGCACTGACGTGACAAGATACGGTTCTTTTCTGAGATTCAAAAATAAGGTAAAAAAACTAAACTGGGTTGCTGTCAGGTTTTTAGAGACTGGTCTCTAACGTTTGCGTATGCAGTGTTTCCTGCTTAGGTTTAACCACAGCCGACGTCAACTACGAGCCGTGATGAAAGAAAGGCAACACCGCGCTCGGACGGCATGGTAGTGCTACCTGTGAACGTCGGCCGCCAGCGGCTGTGTGCTCCGTCTCCGTGTAACGTTCAAGAACTAAATTTAATTTTGGAAAAGAGGACAGTTCGATTCGATACAAATCGTCTGAATATGAAATAGCTCTAAAAAATTTAAAAATACGAAATAATCGTGATATATATGAGTCGCTAATGTAGTTAACCTAATTAAAAGTATTTAGTTTACGTTTTTTGGTGTCAGCACACTGTGTTCCAACAGGCCCAGCTTGGAAATGTGGAGTTACCTGTTTGTTTTTAATATATTTACTTTCAGTTTTACTGTTATTTTTCAATTTTACATAATCATTCAAAATTATGTTTGAAAAAATAGACAAAAGCTTAGATAAAATATCTGCATAATTGCGGCCACAGATGCAAGTTAAAGAAAATTCACTGTATATAAAGTCAGACTGAATGCTGAGCAAGGTTAACTGACACAAAATAAATTTTTGATTATTGCTTTTCAAGAAGAAAATTTCCAATCTATCTACATTAATAATAGATTCAAAAATGGCATACATATGGTAGAATATGATTGGTACATAACTGGTTGGAATTGACAGTCCTCCTCTTTGCAAATGATCAAAATAAACATTTGTTGTTAATGAACCTTTTTCTTTAACTATTAGCGATTTGCATATCTCGCAGTTTAGGTTTTTAGAGATAGCGCGTGAAGCATATCCAGATATATAAGTCTTAGTACTATCCTCTATGTCACAATTGGCTAAGTAATTTGTCTCAAATACTTCACTGAATATATCCAAAACTTCAGGATTTTGTTTGGTATCCAAGAAATCAAAATTTTTTTGAGTTTCTAAGCAGTTTTGGAATCTTGTTTTAATTTCTGCTAAAGAAAATTACGATTTATTTTCATTGAAAATATGCTTCAGCCGTATTTTCTTTTCAGCATTTAAAATTTCATCATATGACACATTGTAATTGCAGCCACATAAAAGTCTATAATTGCCAAATCGTTTTTCTAAATTATCAGTGGTGAATTTTCCAGGCAATACATACTCAATGTCAAATTGATTAAATGAATATTCAATTATATTAAGTAGAGTCAGCGTGCTTTGATATAGAGCTGTATACGTTTCTGGTGTCAGGTGTCCATTATTATTCTCTAGATTATGCCATTTTTCTAACCATATCAGGAATTTTTTTAAAAATTGTACTCTATAATCATATTTATTGGTAATAGGCTTACAAAATTCGTTTCGCTTCAATTCTCCTTTTATTACACTTGTATTACTGACAATATCCCACCAATTCCTGATTATTTCCAAAAAGTGTGCAGCATCATTAAACTTTAATTCTTTCATAGCAGCTATTGTTGAGTGATGGAATAAATTATCTACAAAATTTACATTTTGCCTTTCAAATGAATTTGGATGGAATGTTTTATAATTTAATTTATATGCTTTCTTAACTACAGCTTCTTTTTCCAATTGATATACAGCACGAATGTTTTCAAATTTAGCATACTGAATAATATCATTATTGTCAAAATTAGGATATACATAGAATAATTTTCTGATGAATCCATTGCTAATTTCCTGAACATTGCTCTATTAATTCGGTGATTATCAGTAACAACACAAATAACTTCAAATCCACATTTTTGAACTAAATTTATCTTTGATCTTATCCATATCATCGAAATTCTGGATAGCTTTTTCATGTTTCTCAATTAATTTTTGTTTTCTTTGCATTGGGTCAGTTCTTTTGGGTGCTTCAGTTTTTGAAAGATATGATGGCAAGTTTGGGAAAATGGAGGGAACAGCATTTTCTTTCAATTTTGGATATTTCAAAGGTATATTATTTTGGACTGTTGCATCCGCCAAAACTATATTTTCTGTCCTGATGATATCTGATTCTCTAAAATGACGACTGCACACAGCTGAATATTTTGAAGGTGTCCAATTTTTTCTGGGAATTGCCATAAGCCATTTGTTTTTCAGACTTCCGGTACTTGGGAAGCGAAAAGTTGAAAGATAGCGTTCTGTTTTCAAAGCAGAATTATAGTTTGCATTGCATACAGGAACACAGCAACAACGAGGCATATTGTCTGCGTCAAATACTTGATAAATGAAAAAAGAAAAATACAACCTGAATTTGCACGTTTTCAATAGTTGAAATCCTTAGCGTCCTGAGGCGCGAACAGCCACAGTCACACTTCTTAGTTTATTTTTAAAGCACAGAAGCACTACAACTGGAGTCTATTTCTCATATATTATAGTTACTGATCACTTTTAACACAAACACACACTTTGAAGTTTAGAAAACAAGCTTATCTCTTAATTACAGCCTCTGTGATTCCAAAATCACAAATTGAAAAGGTTATGTTTTCTCAGCGTTTTGAGCACGAGTTGCGTTGTGGTTGCGTCGATGCAGCAAGCAGCGGCGGGAGTAACACTACGATATACGTTGCCAGATTTCTTTGTTCACGGCTCGTAGTTGACGTCGGCTGTGGTTTAACTTAACTAAAATCTGATTCAAGTTACCTGCAATATTATAGCCTGCAGCGTATAAGGGCCCACTTTGGCGCCGGATCTTCGGTAATGCCGCAAAACCAAGTCCAGAGCACCTTGAGGCGCCAAATCCAAAACTAGAGCTAAAGGACTAGTGCAAACGCCCACAAAGGGGACGATATTTGGATGTCTGAGGGATAGCAGGATGTTCAATTCTTGTCTGGCTGTACAATAGGCTTTACAAGCGTATTGCAATGGATCTCTGTCCCACTTTCCTTGGGCAGCCTATAAAATATTATTTGAATTAGTAAAGTGATGTGGAATGCTGGTATGATGCATCAACAGAGGGCTACCGAAGAGCAAAACGCAACAGTTTGGTTGATTTGACAGGCACGATAATCTCTCCATAAAACGAATAAGTCTTTGTTGACCGCACAATTACCTTAAATGCAATTACAGCAGACTGCCTGGCATTCGGACCGGGTTGTACTGGTTGGAGCATTTTCATCGCTACATCCATCATGGTATTAGATCCTCTCACTTTACACGTGCCTTTGAAGACAAAGCCAAATGCCCCTCTACCCAGCAATTTTCCTTTCTTTATATTCTCAGGGCGGATCACATATCTCTCGCCAAGATCCATAAACATCTATGGAAACGAAATTGGTTAGTACCTAATATATAATAATAATAATAATAATAATAATAGACGTCTTTATTTATCCACAATTACATTGTAGTATAGCCAAATGTCAGACTTATATGGCGAAGTTTAGCATGCTGCTACTCTTACACTTAACCATATAGTCTCTAGCAGATGTTCAAAAGAATACACTATCCACAAACAGATTTGGTTCATTACATCGAAAGTAAAATTTAAAAAAAAAGAGAAAAAGGCATACTTTCCAAACCCAAATGCACCAAAAAATTATTAATCTGAATTAAAGATGGAATAAAAAAGAAATGAATGATTACGTAAATTATATGTTTGGAGGGTTGAGTAATAATGTTTTAACTTTTTGTCGAAAGACAGGTAATGAAAATTCTTTATATACTTTAGGAAGGTCATTATAAATAATAGCAACATTGTAAGAAAAACTGCGTTTAAAAGGTGTAGACGTATGCAGGGGTATTCTAATATTATTTTCTCTGAGAGTTCTACAGTGAACATCATTATTAAATGAAATTTTTTCCTTCAAGTAATAAGGTTTAGACGTGAGCAGCAATTTGTGAACAAAACCTGAATAGTGATACTTGACCATGTCATTAATTTTTAACCAGTTTAGAACGGGATATTTCGCCGATACATATGGAAAATAAAATTATCAAGAGCCGGACGTTCTGCGGATTTTGAAGGCAAAGGTATCCATACTTAATTTCTATTCTACAGGTGGTCCATAAGTCCTTTGAAATTTCAAATTTGAATAAAATTTAACGGGTGAGCGTGAGCGGCGCGGGCGAGGTGGGGGCAGTAACTTCAGTGTCTGGGAATTCAGTCGCCATGGAGTGTTTCACTGGAGCGGATCGTGTTTTTTGTGTGCGCGCGTTTTATCAAAATAATGATTCGGCAACCATTGCGCGGCGTAAATATCGAGAATACCACAATTTATACAATTTTACAAAGTGTCCAACAGCTCAAACGATTAAGAACTGGGTTGCTAAGTTCGAAGAGACTGGTTCGACGTTAGATAAACAGCGGTGGGGTCGACCAAGGACAACTCGTATTGAAGAAAACATCAACATTGTGGCACAGTCTGTTCGTCAAAATCCTACCCAGTCTACTCGTAAGCGTTCCAGTGCACTAAACGTACCCAGAACATCTTTACAGCTGATTTTCAGGAAAGATTTACGTCTGCACGCTTACAAAATTCAGTTAGTGCAGGAATTAAAAGATAATGACGCTATTCAGAGACTAAACTTTGCGAATGAAATGTTGAATCGATTTTCTTCGCTCAATAATGTGTTGTTCTCGGACGAGGCTCACTTCCATTTAAAAGGGCATGTAAATAAACAAAATTGCCGTTATTGGAGCCCCGAAAATCCAAGGCGTAAGCATCAGAAGCCCTTACACAGCCCTAAAGTTACAGTTTGGGCTGCTATGTCAGCGCATGGCATCGTAGGCCCCTATTTTTTTGAGGACGACAGAGGTCGCGCATTAACTGTTACTTCGGAGCGGTATGTAGCAATGATAGAAGAATTTTTGACACCAGCGTTGCAGAATTTTCCAGGCTATAATACGCAGACCTGGTTTCAACAGGACGGAGCAACTGCCCACACCTCCAACACTTCTATGCCCGTCGTCTGTCAACTTTTTCCCAGCAAAGTAATTTCTCGAAGAGGAGACATTTCCTGGCCACCACGTAGTCCAGATTGACCCCAATGGACTTCTTTTTATGGGGCTACCTCAAGAGTAAAGTGTACGACACCACTCCGCGATCAGTTGATGTCCTGAAAGAAAATATCCGAAGAGAAATGGCAAGCATTACAGTGTTGACTTGCCGCGCAGTCATCGACAATTTTAGACGTCGTTTATATGAGTGCCGTGATCGTAATGGATTGCATTTAGACGATGTGATTTTTAAAACATAATTCCCATTCAATAAAGATGATAACAAAATATAATAATTCTTCATATGTAACTAGTTTGGTTTTATTCCTTTTTTCCCAGCTCAAAGGACTTATGGGCCACCCTGTATAATCTCTCCTCAAACCTTGTAGAATTGACCTAATGCCGCTTTTCGTAGTTTTTTTTTACTTAACGTAGGTTTTTCTACAAAATGTAAACTAAGCACAAGCTGTTGTGAACTCGTTTTGTAGCTGTACGTGTTGCTTTAACGTCAGCGAACAGCGATCATAGTGAGCGAACGTGGAATGAACTATTTGCACACTAAAAACTACCTGATCTGCAAGATGACATTTCGTAGGTTGTTTTTTACGTTTTTCAGGTTTTTTAAATAATACCCCTGCGGTACATCAAATCTGTCATAATCTATTAAAATAATCTTGGAATCTACAGGGTGTTTCAGTTTATTGTTGCATAACTTTAAGATTCGATCGAACTTTTAAAATTAATGCATAAAGTCTATATAAACATGGGTTGAAAAATGCGTGGCTTCCGAAATATAGGGTGTTTACATTTACTTTCTAAAATAGTTTTTTTTAAATATTTCGAACAATATTTGATGTATAACAGTGAAAATTGGTATATAAGGGTTTTTTGATACGCCAAAACGAACCATGGGCATAGTTTTACTGCAGCCGCTAGAGGGCGCTCTCTACTGTACCTGTAGTGTATTAAAATGACCGAAAATTTTTTATTAGTGAAATTTTTTGCTTTTTGAATAAAAAAACGGATTATTTGCACTTTTCAACATAAAAAAGCTCTCTTGTGAATTTTCGTTACAGTTAGCCGTTTTTGAGATATTTCGATTTTTAAGGTTCGATACATTTTTAATTATTTATGATAAAATAACGTTGAAAAGTCAGTATCTCGATAATTTTTAGGCTGTGCCTGCAAATATTTTTGAAATTGAAAGCAGAATGAGGTTAAACGTCAATTAGTTGACAGTTAGTTTTGTTATCTGTTGAAACCTGAAACGTTTTTTGCAATTGTGAATGCACGAAATTTAGTTTCTTTCACCTGCTTTTTTTGTAAGTTTTATAAAAATGCCATTTTATTCTCCAATCAAGAGTTAGCGGATATTCATTTTGTAAATGGAAACACAGCAGAAGCAGCCAGAGAATACGCACGAAGATTTCCAAACAGACGACATCCAACTCGCTCAGTATTTGTAAGAGTGCATCGCCAAATAATTGAAAATGGTTTTGAAAATCTCCAAAGGGATCAAAACATAAATGTTCGTCAGCGCAGATTTACCCGTATGATTCTGCGTGAGTTTGATAGAGATCCGACCACAAGTGTTAGGAGAGTTTCTGGTGCCTTGGGAATTTCAGCAAGCCATGTTCACCGTGTTCTTAGGAATGACCACATACGTCCTTACCATTTGCAACCTGTGCAAGGACTACAGCCAGGGGACAGAGAACGAAGAATCACATTTTATCAGTGGATTCTTGATAGAACTGATAATAATAGGGAGTTTTTAAGTAACGTTTTATGGACCGATGAGTCATGCTTAACTAGACGTGGAGTGATAAATTTTCATAATCAACATATTTGGTCGCATGAAAATCCGCATGCAGTTCGGGAAAGAAATTTTCAGCATGAATTTAGTGTGAACGTGTGGATTTGTATCTACGGTAATCGACTATTTGGACCCTATCTTTTGCCTGCAAGGTTAAATGCTGCGACCTTCTTGGAATTTTTAAAGGCTGAACATGCAAATATGTGGGATGATGTTATGTTAGATTTAAGAAGATTTGCCTGGTTCCAGCTTGGTGGTTGTCCAGCTCATTATTCGAGAATAGTTAGAAACTGGCTGGACGAAAATTATCCAGAAAGATGGATCGGCCGTGGAGGACCAGTCGCCTGGCCTCCACGATCCCCTGACCCAAATCCATTAGATTTCTTTGTGTGGGGATTTCTGAAAGAAAAAGTGTACCAGACTCCCGTAACCACAAGAGATATGCTAATAGACAGAATCAGGAATGCATGTGATGAAATAAGGCCTTACTTGAATAATGCTATACCACGTTCGATCATTCGTAGATGTGAATTGCGTATTGAACAATTGGGTTTACATTTCTAGCAACTACTTTAGATTTTGTATGTTTGTCCTAACTATCCAATAGCATTTTAGCTGTAAATAATTAATTTAATTTGTTAAAAATAATAATGGAAAATTAAACAAATTAATATTATTTTTTGTGTTTATTTGGAGTTAGGAATTATTGCTGTGTTTAAAAACACAATCTAAACGATCATCTTAATTACTTGTAATGCCCAAATCGAAAATGTAAAAAAAATATTATTTTCCCATAAATAATTAAAAATGCATCGAACCTTAAAAATCGAAATATCTCAAAAACGGCTAACTATAACGACAACTCACATGAGAGTTTTTTCATGCAGAAAAGTGCGAAGAATCAGTTTTTTTATTCAAAAAGCAAAAAATTGCACTAAGAAAAAATTGTCGGTCATTTTAATACACTACAGGTACAGTAGAGAGCGCCCTCTAACGGCTACAATAAAACTATGCCCATGGTTCGTTTTGTCGTACCAAAAAACCCTTGTATACCAATTTTCACTGTTATACATCAAATATTGTTCGAAATATTTAAAAAAACTATTTTAAAAAGTAAATTTAAACACCCTGTACTTCGGAAGTCACGCATTTTTCGACCCATGTTTATATAGACTTTATGCATTAATTTTAAAAGTTCTATCGAATCTTAAAGTAATGAAACAATAAACTGAAACACCCTGTATACAAGGTATAATGTAATAAGGAGTAATTTTGCCTAATTTTTTTATACGCTCAGTTCGCTACAATTGGTTGATATTTGTCTACTGTTTGTTTGCTTTCTCGTGTTTATCTTCTAGCACTTCCAACTCAATAGTTTTAATGCTACGAGATTAAGAGAACAAACGTACACTATATTGAAACTTGCTACATACGAACTAGGCTAACACAGTCTGAAACATAACTGTGACTTCAGTATGCGTGCCAACTTCATAAACAGTTCAGTGCATTTCACTATAAAATTAGTTTTTTACAAACTTTAAGGCTCATCTGTGACCGTGTAAAAATTTCAGCTCTAAATATGTATACAGAAGAGTATGAAGAAATCTTCAATAAAAAAATTTTCTTGCCAACAAAAGATGATAGACACATCCGCTTTGTTTTGAAATGCGTATAATAAAATGTACGTTTTTCGAATATCGTAGCGCATCTGTTCAATTGCTCACCGAGAACATTTTCGTGCCATAATTTATTACAACTTTCAGAGACAATTATCGCAACAAGAATGCCTTGCTGAGTTGCTGTCGGTTTTCGGCAACGAAGCGCCACATCAGTCGACAATTTTCCGTTGGCATGGAGAATTCAAACGTGGACGGGTGAGTCTTAGCGACTTTCCCAGGCTGGGTGCACCAAAAACGGTAGTCACCCAGGAAAACGTCGATGCTGTGCGCAAACTCATCATTGAAGATAGACATGTGACAGATCGCGAGATTGAGGCGTCCTTGAAGATCTCAAAGACCTCAATTGAAAAAAATTTTACATGAAGAATTAGGAGTAAGAAAATTAGTTACTCGTTGGATACCCCACCTGTTGACTGAAGAGAAGAAAGCAGCCAGGGTTAATTGGTGTCAAAAAAACGCTTGACCGTTTCAACTCAAAAAATGTGTACAGCATTGTTAGTGGTGATGAATCGTGGATTTACTGTTATGAACCAGAAAATAAACGACAGTCGGCTGTTTGGGTGTTCCAAGGTGAAGAAAAGCCAACAAAAGTCATCCGTTCTCGAAGTGTTTCGAAAAAGATGGTCGCGAAATTTGTGTCAAAAGCGGTTCATATTGCAACAATTCCTCTTAATGAGCAAAGAACTGTTACTGCGGATTGGTATACCATCATTTGTTTGCCAAAATTCATCACCGAGCTTCTAAAAATCAACCCCGAAAGAAGAATGATCCTCCACCAAGACAATGCAAGCTCGCACACAGCCCAAAAAACAAGGCATATGCAAAACTTAAAAGACTTCCCTCGTATATTACTCAGTAAAGTAGTAGTGATAGCCGGTAAACTGTTATAGTTATAGTATAAAGCCTACGGATATAAAACAATATAATGTACACGTATGTATAACGTAACACAATCATGCCGATTACATCACCTTTCCTTGCCGAATATAAAAATGTAGCACGTGCATTCTTGTGAATTACAATGTATTAACACTGTCACAGCAGGAACACATATAATTACCGTATCTCTAAAACTTGAACTAATATTGAAAAAATAAGTTTCATTTTAGCACATTAAAAATAGTAATATTTTGTTGATTTTATTTAGGATATTTTTTGGCTGTTGATCAGTGATATTTATTTCGTATAATGCACCACAATATGTTTCAAACAAGACGCTATATAGAGACCTTGGCAAACCTGATTCGAACGTTTAAATCACAAATGAACAAGGGAAATCGCATTGCAACCGCAACCATACCGTGTGACATGTGCAAGTATAAGTTAAGGTTGGAATAGTCAAGTTCTATGTACCGTATCAGGAGCTATTGCAGACAAAGGGCAGGTTCCATGGATCGGACATGAGACGGCTTTATCTTGATATGCTGCCAAAATGCACTCCTCTACCATCCAAGAGTAATACACAGGTTTTTCCACCCCTTCCTCTGCTGCTTGTAGACCGGGGTGTCCTTCCGCTGAAGGAATCCTACTAGATCCTGTTGACTCTGGACCAACGCCACTGTCGCATTCTGATGTATACGATTCTTGAGACTTGCGTATTCTAGAATTTCAATAATGCATTTTGAGATTCTTGAAACGCACCAAACTGTCTTGATAATAATATAATTAAATACCAAGAGCCGCGTTACTATTATACGCAACAAATTCATCCATAGCCGGAGAATCATAAGCTCCAATCACCAACTAAGGATAATTTATAGAAATTGATGTCGAAGATAACGAACAATTGAGATCAACGCTCACATTAACGGACACATGTTTACATAGACAAGACGAAAATTGCGACTATGTTAGAAAAAATATCCTCATTCGATATCAGTTCATAATCACCTTCCTGAGTCGACCCAGAATAAAAACCGTCATGTCGTCCGCGCGAAAAATCCACGTTTTTTCTGTGTTCAGTTTTTAAATTTTCTGGCATTCGTTTTAACAAAATTATGGCCAATACGATGTCTTTTAAGTTTTGCATATGGAAATAAAACAACGCGGTAGGTAGTTTTACATGACTTTATTGTTTTTCGAAGTATTCTCCACAAAGATTAATACACATCTGCATGCGCTCGAATCAATTTTCGAAGCACTTATTCCACTCGTTTGCTGGCAGATCCAAAACGGCATTTTTGAATGCGTCAACTGCTTCTTCTGGTGACTGGAACTTTTGACCCCGCAGTCTGTTTTTAATTTTCGGGAAAGTAAATAAATCGTTAGGACTTAGATCGGGACTATGTGGAGGATGGTCCAATAATTCTACGTTTTGTTCCGTTAAATACTGCCTTGTTTTTTGGGCTGTGTGCGAGCTTGCATTGTCTTGGTGGAGGATGATTCTTCTTTCGGGGTTGATTTTTCGAAGCTGTGATGATTTTTGCAAACAAATGGTGGTATACCCGGCAGTAACAGTTCGTTGCTCATTAAGAGGAATTGTTGCGATATGATCCGCTTTTGACACAAATGTCGCGACCACCTTTTTCGAAACCCTTCGAGAACGGATGACTTTTGTTGGCTTTTCTTCACCTTGGAACACCCAAACAGCCGACTGTCGTTTATTTTCTGGTTCATAACAGTAAATCCACGATTCATCACCACTAACAATGCTGTACACATTTTTTGAGTTTCCGGAATTGAAACGGTCAAGCGTTTTTTGACACCAATTAACCCTGGCTGCGTTCTGCTCTTCAGTCACCAGGTGGGGTATCCAACAAGAAAATAATTTTCTTACTCCTAATTCTTCATGTAACATTTTTTGAATTCAGGTCTTTGAGATCTTCAAGGACGCCTCAATCTCGCGATATGTCACATGTCTATCTTCAATTATGAGTTTGCGCACAGCATCGACGTTTTTGGGTGCACCTACCCTGGGATCGTCGCTAAGACTCACCCGTCCACGTTTGAATTCTCCATACCAACTTGAAATTGTCGACTAATGTGACGCTTATTTTTTTTTTTATATCGAAACAGCCGCGCAGGCAGAAGCCTAAATGCCGGAACACCGCGGCTGCTATGATGATCCCAAAGAAATTTTGTTAATACGATTTTTGAACTGCCTAAGGTTAGTAGAACTGGGAAAAGCTTCCTCCCGTAGATTGTTCCACAATCTAGACACCCTCGGGACAAAGGAGCGGTCGTATCGGCCAGTTCTGGTTGTACGAAGTTTGACACGGTTAGGATGGGACGCCGAAGTCAGGCGGGTCTGTCTGGCAGGCACATCGCGCGGCGGCATCATAGAAGAGAGCTCTGAGGAGCAAAGCCCGTTAGTGTAGCGATAGAAAAGAGCTAGATCGCCGACGGCCCGCCGGTGCGAAAGAGTCCCGAGACTGTCTGTTAGAGAAGAGTCATCGATCAGTCGGACCGCCCTCCTCTGGACAGCATCGAGCATGAACAATGTAGTCGGGGCGGCAGCACCCCAAATGTGTGAGCAATACTCGAGGCTAGGCCTTATCTGGGCCTTGTATAGAGTGAGAAGGTCATGCGGAGAAAAGTACTTCTTAGCCCTAAACAAATAGCCTAGCTTTTTCCCAGCAGCTGAAGCTATTGAAGAGATGTGTTCGTGCCAGATCAGGTCCTCCCTTACATTTTATTTTATTTTACGTAATATATGTGTGTATATATGTATGCTAGGAAGCTATCAAGCTCGTTGTTTTGAAGCGTCTTTTGCTTGTCAAAGTTTCCTTTGATTGAGTGTTTCAATTTAGTATTTGGGTAGGTTAAGTAGAGTAGCCAAGAGCTAGACTTCGCCTACGTAGAGGTCACATTATGTTGTAGTGTATATAATGTGCCTAATAAAGACATTTTATTATTATTATTATTATTAATACAATCAAATTTCATAGGAGGTTTATTTCAGTTTTCGAAAATATCCTTCCATTCTCTGTGCGATCATTCAAGGTCAAACATCTCTGCGTCAAATCATCGTATCGAGATTTTAAAAACATAAAAGACTTTTTTAAGTCAGTCAGACAAACATTTTCCAAAAATTGTTTCTTGAGCTATCTGTTAGAATTGCATGAGAAGCGTTGCTCCAAAAATTTGCCTGCTAAAAAATATGAAAACTAGAGGTTTTTTAAATCTAGATACGAGGGTTGTCTCAGAAATAAGTTTCCCAACGCTGTAACTTTGCCACGCGTGATGCTAGGCGAAATCTCGCAACACCGTCGTGTTTGTCGGCTCCCCCAGCACTGATCCCAACAAGAAGCACCTATTGCCGACGCTCAGTACCCGTCTGACAGCCATGCGCAATGGTGCACTTCATCGTCATCACCGCTAATTGGGAAATTCGTGCAGTCATTCGATTTTTGCACGCAAAAACGTTAGCACCCATCGCCAGTTGAGTGAAGTACAGGGTGGTCCATAAGTCCTTTGAAATTTCAAATTTGAATAAAATTTAACAGGTGAGCGTGAGCGGCGCGGGCGAGGTGGGGGCAGTATCTTCAGTGTCTGGGAATTCAGTCGCCATGGAGTGTTTCACTGGAGCGGATCGTGCTTTTTGTGTGCGCGCGTTTTATCAAAATAATGATTCGGCAACCATTGCGCGGCGTAAATATCGAGAATACCACAATTTACACAATTTTACAAAGTGTCCAACAGCTCAAACGATTAAGAACTAGGTTGCTAAGTTCGAAGAGACTGGTTCGACGTTAGATAAACAGCGGTGGGGTCGACCAAGGACAACTCGTATTGAAGAAAACATCAACATTGTGGCACAGTCTGTTCGTCAAAATCCTACCCAGTCTACTCGTAAGCGTTCTAGTGCACTAAACGTACCCAGAACATCTTTACAGCGGATTTTAAGGAAAGATTTACGTCTGCACGCTTACAAAATTCAGTTAGTGCAGGAATTAAAAGATAATGACGCTATTCAGAGACTAAACTTTGCGAATGAAATGTTGAATCGATTTTCTTCGCTCAATAATGTGTTGTTCTCGGACGAGGCTCACTTCCATTTAAACGGGCATGTAAATAAACAAAATTGCCGTTATTGGAGCCCCGAAAATCCAAGGCGTAAGCATCAGAAGCCCTTACACAGCCCTAAAGTTACAGTTTGGGCTGCTATGTCAGCGCATGGCATCGTAGGCCCTTATTTTTTTGAGGACGACAGAGGTCGCGCATTAACTGTTACTTCGGAGCGGTATGTAGCAATGATAGAAGAGTTTTTGACGCCAGCGTTGCAGAATTTTCCAGGCTATAATACGCAGACCTGGTTTCAACAGGACGGAGCAACTGCCCAAACCTCCAACACTTCTATGCCCGTCGTCTGTCAACTTTTTCCCAGCAAAGTAATTTCTCGAAGAGGAGACATTTCCTGGCCACCACGTAGTCCAGATTTGACCCCAATGGACTTCTTTTTATCGGGCTATCTCAAGAGTAAAGTGTACGACACCACTCCGCGATCAGTTGATGTCATGAAAGAAAATATCCGAAGAGAAATGGCACGCATTACAGTGTTGACTTGCCGCGCAGTCATCGACAATTTTAGACGACGTTTATATGAGTGCCGTGATCGTAATGGATTGCATTTAGACGATGTGATTTTTAAAACATAATTCCCATTCAATAAAGATGATAACAAAATATAATAATTCTTCATAATGTAACTAGTTTGGTTTTATTCCTTTTTTTCCAGCTCAAAGGACTTATGGGCCACCCTGTATATGGGAAACGTGCATAAGCATTCAACATGTCCTCAAATGGTGACGAGAGTTCTTTGACGGACGACAATGCACATCCTAATGTCTCGCAACAAACGAATGACTGAATCGAGCGATTTGGATGGGAAGTCTTTGCCCATCCTCCTTATAGTCCTGATACAGCGTTTCAGAAATCGAATAAGCACCTAGGCGGTCAACGGTTCGAGACGGACGAGGAGTGCAAGGAGCAGTTACCAAGTTTCCAAGAGGGTTGGCGGCAAACTTCCTTGAGGCGTCGGTGAAAAAGTGTATACCATGTGGAGACTATGGAGAAAAATAGCTTAAAGATCAACGTTTAAATAAATTCGTTTTTTCAAATAAACAATTCCTTGTGCTTGAAAAAAATGTGGGGACGTTAGTTTTGAGACAACCCTCGTATGACCATTTTTTACCTAAATACAGTCTGTAAAAAATCACCGAGAAATATATATTTTTTTCTTACTCCCTTAATTTTATTTGTTTGTTTGTTTAAGATTTATTTAGCATGACTGCTACAAGTACTTTCTTTTAAACAACTATAACAATTACATAACATACAGATACAGTGGACCTCCGGTAATCTGACAAACATTATGCAGGGCAGTGTCAGACTATCGAATTTGTCGGATTATAGAGCACTGCATAAGAACCCCTATAGTCTGGAATTTTTTACAAAAGAGTATGGTATATCTGAAGTCACTTGAAATAGCATAAAAACCTTTGGACGGCGCGTCCTTTGTAATTTCATGACGTATCATAGGCGTGCGGATTTCCAGGAGGCAAAACACAATATTCATTTTCTTTTTCAATAATATGCCTAGAACACTGCTTCCATAGGTCTGTGGCAGCAATATGAGATACTGCATCTCTTATTGTGGCC